ATGTCAACGCTCAGCTAAGTCAATGTCATTGTCAACTCTCGGTCAATGTCAACTCTCAGTTTAGTCAATGTTAGTGTCAACCCTCAGCTTAGTCAATATCAATAAAGGATCTTTCAAAAAAAAAAAATATCAGAGGAGAGTACACAGGAGTTTTTCCATAACTTGCTAATTTGAAACGCACATTTGCTACCTTGGCTCTTCGCAGAGGTCTTCCAGGTCGAAGGAAAGGCTGAGGGCAGGTGAGAATCATGTATGTCAGCTGATTCTGGATCAGTAGCGGCCACTGGGACTTGGAAAGCCGTATGTCTTTACCCCCATGAGATGTGAAGAAGCAGGACCGGACAGTAGGATGTTGATACTGTGTACGGATCCCTGACCCTCAAGGCCTGCTATTAAACTTTGATCAAGTGCCGGTCTGAGTGAATCATGCCCGTTCGTTTACCTTCCCGTTTGGCCAGACGCCCTCACCGAACGCACGTGTCCGTGTTCGACCTTTCCGGGATATTTTCTACAGCTGCGGTTCACAGATTTGTATGATCTGTGCTGTGCATGATGTCTTAAACTGTTTTTGTAAACAAAGCTTGATGTTTACCTCTCAATACTGGTGTAACAGGTTTACTTCAAAGAAAAAAAATCCACAAGCTGTTAAGAGCAATCTGCTGTTATTTATGCTTTAATGCTGGATATAAGTGTCTTTCTGTGGGCCAGAGTGTTTCTCTTGGAGAATGTGTAACTTTCTTTAGGTTTTCTGCATGATTTCAAAATGCTTATTCAGATTTTTTCAAATATTGTTTCTTTACTCATCCGTGAAAATGAAAAAAAACTCGACAGAGACTCGCGGAGCTGATCAGAGCCACGTCACTATAAACGGCGAGTCTTGTCCGGAATAGTTACATTCAGGAGGAATACTGATACATCAGGAATCTTGGCAGGAGTTCAAGAATTCTTGTGTTTGGGACGTCCCTGGTTCTGCATTCCTGCAAGCAGGAGAGTCACGTGCAGGTTCATTGTTTGTACATACTAAAGCAGTGAGTAATGACTATATATAAGTTTAACTCTTATATTTTGGGCATACATTGATAAGACTCAGAGTACCAGAGAGGGTCATTTTACTTGAAAATGAAGAAGAGGGAAACCAAGGTGGATGGATGCAGTCATCATAGCAATGACCATGTCACTGGGAAGTCTGAATAACCAGACAGAAGACAAAACGTTCTAGAGCAATGCTGTCTTAATGGTCAGTCAATATGAACCTATTAATAATACTTAAGTCACTATAAAATACCAAAGTGATGCACATCCTATAGTAATATACGGCATATTTAGCCATGTTCAGGCAGTGTCATGATACTGACCACTGGGAACATTCTAGAGACAAAACATTTCTTTGACTCCTTTCCATGGTTATGCAGTTTCAGATACAAAGACAAGCCTCCTATGAATATGCACTTTAGTCACCTTCCTGACCCCTGGTGTGAACCTCTGCAGGTGCTGCCCAGCACTCATCCAGGGCCACGCTAAGTCTGAAGGTTGGAAGGTAGAGCCTAATGGGCGGAGTTTCTGGTGCAGTAACACCATCGTAGTGTGCTGCCATGTAACTAAGTGTTTATACAGTGGGATGGACGAGCCATGTGAGAAACGCTCATGGGAGTTTCTTACACAAAAATGTTCTGAGAGCAGAATGAAAAATGATTGGTTCGGAGAAATAACCAATTAGATTGTAGAAGAGGCGAGTCCAACCAATCAGATGTCTTGGTCCCACCTCATCTTGTTGCTTGCGCCCATCTCCTCTACAATCTGATTGGTTATCTCTCTGAACCAATCATTTTTCATTCTGCTCAGAACATTTTTGTGTCAGTTAAACTCCCACAAGCACGAGGAACTGTGTGAGGACCTGATTGCTTAGCCTCGCAGCACAATCTGTCTCTGTGAGCAATGCTCAGGGCTGCTCTTTCCCCGGGAGAAAACAAAACAATGCATTGGACCACTATTATTTAGGAACTACCAACCTATCTATCTTCTTCCTGTGCTTGGATAATGTTTTCCTTTGGTTTGGGGCACCTTTGGAGGGGACTAAGCAGAGGAAATGACTACGTACAATAAAATAATTTGTCTCTAAAATGTCACAGCTGTTATAAAATCATATTTGATGGCAATTGTATTTTAGTTGTGCTGTGGCCAAAAATACCGGCCTCTGTTTGCATATGATGTGCCTTTATCCTTGTACACCGCGTCTGCATGTCCAACTTGTTTCCTGCACCCCACGGGCCTTTGCACCTTGGGATGGTTTCTCGTGTGTGAATGTCAGAACTGTGTAAATCTGCTCATGGTTTAGTCCCGGTC